ATATCAGGACAAAGCCAACTACTTCAAATATCGCTATGATACAATCTTCTACATAAACCTTGGGTAAGTCAGTAGCTACCCTGAATTTGCCTAAGAGAAAACATGCAAAATTTGGAAACTCAGTCTTGGGAGGTGTCTAAAATTTTCCTTCAGTGAGTAGGTTGCGTGTCAGGCAGAAGCTAACTCCAAGAAATTCATGTAAATGCAGTGCTAATCTTTCAAGCCTCCTCTTTCTATTCTCTTCCCATAAACAGCTAGTACAAAGAGAATATCACTATAGCAACCAGTTGCTACATTGCTAGGTTTGCAAAAGTAATTCTTGCTTTCACGGTCATCAGGGCCCTAGATCAAATACCTCGGATTCTTCCCCTAAATCCACAGTGGAACTGCATCTCTCTGGCTTATTTGCCTGACTTGTTGCAATGACATGGATCATTTTCAGCTGAAGGAACGAAGAACTGTGTCTGTGATTTGAATACTTTCCTCCTCTCTGCACCAGGAATGAGTGACGTGTCTCACCATCAGACAACCCAGGCAGATGGTCCCCATGGGCTCAAGGCATCCAAGAGATGAACTAAAACACAGCCCATGGTTAACTTTTTTTTTTCCCCCTTCAATGCTATTATGGAGCATCAGTCTTAGGGACGAGTTATTATCTCATATAACTTAACCTGAACTTGACCTCTGTCCCGAGAGGAAGGATGTTCACCTGGTAAGAATCCACACTTTTCCAGAATCTGTGAATGTGAACTCCTTTGGGGGAAAAAAATGGTTCTTTCTGGAATATTCCCTCAATTCAGTATGATGGATGTGACTGTGAGAAAAGACCCTGACTCACAGGAGAAGGACATTAGGTAACAGCAGTGGCAGCAACGGCTGTGGTACCTATACAAGCCAAGCAACACCAAGGGCTATCAGAGAGCACCAGCAGGCAGACAACACAAGGACTCAGCCTCTGCTGGAGCCTTCAGAAGCTCAAGGTTCTCCACCTCTCTTGATTTTCTAGGAGACAGACAATGGATTCCTATTATAACTAGGTGGTGGTCACTTGCTAGGGAAGCCCCAACAGCCTTCAGAGCGTAAGCTACAGAACAGAGAAAAAGGTACATACACACACATCTTTGCATGTATATATGTGTGTGTATATATATCATATTTATATATTTGCTGGCAGAGGTTCTCTCTCACATCTTGCTTCTCTTCCACTACAAATATTCCAGGACACACACTGATTTAAAAAAAAAATAAATTAGCAGTCCTCCCACATAGAACAAACAATAACTTTTGCCCTTTCTGAAATCATCCTACACTATAGGCTTTGGAGATACATAGATCTGAGTTTGCATAAAACTCTACCTCTTTTTCGTATTTTGCCTAATACAAGTTAGTGAAACTTCCTTTCATCAATACCAGTAGCCTACCCATACACGGCGCATTGCTTTGTTTTATGGCACAGTGGGTGTTTGCTGAGCTTTTGTGGCTCTGTGTACCTGAACACCCTTCTTCTACCTGGGGCACACCCCATCTTAGGATGCAGCACAGCCTCCCAGTCAGGAAAGCAAAGGTATCAGTGCTGGTTTCCAGCACCTGTGTGGCCTTAGCAAAGGCCCAACCCAGGCTCTGCTTGTCAGATGGATGGTGCAGGGAATTCATAGTTTCGTTGGAGGAGCTCATGGCTGCTTCCAGGTTTTGAAGAAGCAGCGAGAGGGTTCTAAGGACAGCTTTCGTGTCAATACTAGATGACAGCTGTCCAGGGCAGTGACCAGGACTGGCCTCACTGTAGTCTTCCTGAGACAGTTCCGCACCAGGAACCTACATAGTCTTCTCATTTCCTGATGTGCTGGTATCTTCTTAGGAAATACATTTTTCTCCTTCGATGAGCGAAACTGCTGTCTGTTACTGGCAGGTAGGAACCTCAGCTAACACAACTGTGATGCCATGGCAGAGCCTATGCGAAACACGTAGCGGGAATCAAGACTTCATTCCTTCTCCTCTTGCTTCCCCATGCGGCTGTGAACAAGGATTCCACTACCACTGAGTTAACTACGAAGTTCAGGGCAAGAAGTGAAGGGTGAGAAGAAACTAAAGGCAGCAAGATCATACAGACAGCCTTGATTTTAATCAATAATGAAGAGCAGGCCTCCTCCTTCTCTTCCTCCGGGTGCCATGTTAACCAACACCATGCGGGGTGTAAAAATGACAGGCACATATCAGCACAGGTTTCCAAGTGGACTCACAGGCTTTGCATCAAATAGATGATGAACACACAGCCAAAGAAATACATCCAAAGGAAGCCCAACCCAGTCTGATGGTCTCAACAGGTTGAGTTGCATGTTTGTTGTTATTTAAGTTTTCTTTTAAGCCTTGAAATCCCCAAATCCTTTCTGCCTAAGCTAGCCTTACATTCTGATGCACAAAGCAGCTGTTGCAATTGGGGAATCTTCTTCTTTGTGGAAATGATGATTTTTTTTTAAATAATAAGCTCTTGGCTCTGGCTTAATCTCACAAGTTTCTAGCAACTGGTGCCCTGACAAACGAAGTGTCAAAACATTTCCAAATTAAAAACCCACAGCTCCCACAACCCCACACCCTCAGCAGGATGGACTATGCGTGCCCGTACCCAGCTCACATTTGAAGAAACTAAAAATAGCCAGATGGCAATTAAGAGAAACTCCAAGGAGGAGACATGGGGTACTTTCCAACAGGGTCAGCTTCCTGGATGGACTCCAAATGAAATTCTTAGCCAGCAGTGGTCTGGCCAAGAAAGGATTTTTTTTCATTAAAACTACATGGAGGAGGCAGAATGAAAAGTTAAGACTTGAAAGATGTTAAAATTATAACACAAGTGAAAATTTATAGCACCATTCCCGAAGACCATCAAAAATAAGGCTACTTGGTAAGTGTGGCAAGTTCCTAACTGTGGGCCAGGACCTGAGCATTTTGTCACCTTGAAGTTACAAGTGTTCTAGGAAATATCTACTACTCTTACCATAACCTCACTCTTAGAGAAAAGTAAATCAGCGCCCAGAGAGGTTAGGCCGTCTGCCCAGGATCTCCAAACAAACTGGGTAAAGATCTAGGGTAGATGCAGGATAGCTGGCCAAGTTACCATGTTTCAACTAAACAGGCTGGCTCCAGAGCTGATGAAAATAACCATTGTACAATGCTACCTTATACGCTTATGGGGATGCTTGAGTAACCACAAACGTTTTCATCCCATCCTTACACCTAAAGCAGCCAAACTCTCGCTTAACCATTTCAGTATTTCTATGTACAGTATCTTTCAGAGGTGATGGGTTTGGACTCCAAAGACTGAGCCTTGAGCCAGCCATTTCATGCGTTCAGTCATGTAAAATAGGGTACATTGTCTACATTCCCAGGCTTTCCTTTTCTGGCTTGTAAAAGGGCAGTAATAGTCATGTTTACCTCACACAGTTATGATGAGGATTAAAGAACACACTGTATGAAGTCTTGAATACGGTGCTTGCTCGAATTAAGCACCTCAATAAATAACAGCTGTGGGTATCGACTATTGTAAACCCATGCCCTTTGATGTAATCAATTCCAATGACCTTTTAGGGAGTCAATTTCAATAAGGGAGAAGGCAAGGGTTTAGTTTAAACTCAGCACCCTCCAGAGACAAATAGGGGTTGTTGTAAAGTTGCCTGCGGTAGGATGAAAGCAAATCAAAGCCACATTGGATTTGGCTTTAGAGTAACCCATTATCCTAGTGCGGGTGGGACTAAGCTCTCTGGGTCAGTAAAACCAGGTCTGCTCCTTTAGTTTTCAGAGGGGGAGAGTGGTTATGGATTATGATCGATTACTTCCCACTGCTCATTTTCCTCATGGACTCGCCTTACTTGTGCACGCCCAGCCTTGGGAACCACAGGAATCAGCCTGCTCACCTGCTCTGACAGGCCTACCCTTGTGCTTCTCCTGTGGAGAGTCTGATAGGCTCTGGATTTGTCAGGGTCACCTGTTTGGAACACAAGTGAGCGGACAAGTTCAACTAGACGGGCAAGGAAGTTACAGGAAGATTTTGTTTGCCCACAGGTTTAAGGCTGATTCTACAAATAGTAATATTAATCACAAGGCCTATATTGTTTCTGTCTGAAATCTGCGGCTCTTTCTAAACTGCTTCAGAACTCAATGAGTAAAAGGGTTATCATTAATTATCAATCATGTGATTAATTATCACCTTCATAAATCCCAACAGATGGATGCCTGTTTTACTTCATTGCCACAGAAACCTCTCTTAGACAAGCAATCAAAGGGTGCTTCAGAGTGGAGAGTGACCTTAAAGACGATGATCAGGCCCAGCATCCCCATTGTTACAGAGGAAAGGATGCAAATGCGAAATGGCCAAGTGACACAATTCAAGGGAGAAGCGTGAAAGGCCTTTTCAATACAAAGAAGTAGTGTGATCAATCGTTTGGGAAATTGCAGTTAAGGGTCTGAACTGGAATTGAAAAAATGGACGATAAATACAGAAAAATAGATACTAGGCTCCAGATGAAAACAGTCCCTAAAGAATAACAGCAACTCCTTGCAATCAATAACCTCCAGAAAACATCCTCAAGCCATGAAGAGGACATCAAAAGGTCAGGTTTAATTCTGCTGGAATTGGACAAAAACCTTCCCTAGGAACGAGATTTCCTATCACAACCTGAGATATCAGAGAAAGTGACAGAAGCAGCAAATCCTTCCCTTCCATCCGCATCCTACCCATTCCTTATAATCACATCCTCTTCGTCAGGAATGTTCAGGTCAGTTGATGAGCAATGGACTCTTTCCACTTTCGGGGGGCACCCTGGATTGAGCTGCTATGAACTTGTGTGCACAGTATTTGTTGAAATGCCTGTTTTTCAAACCTTTAGGGGGAGACACCAAGCAGTGGAATTGCAGAACCCCAGTTTATTCTACCAAAGCCTCACTTGGATTCTGATCTTGATGAGGATCCTGAATGCAGGGTGAGATGCGTTGTCTGTTCCCAGCATTACCTTGTCTCTGAAGTCACTGTGGTTCTGGAGGATGGCTCTGTGGTAAGTGGCTGTCCTCACAAAATCTTGCATCATGTTCTGCTGCTGGTAAATGAAGCCATAAAACTGCAAGGAAAAGACACAGTGGGGGGATCAACAACTTGCATGGCAGCACCTTCACCTGCGTCTGGCTCACACGGCAGGTGTGTGGTTTGACATACAGAAAAGCTGAGGCTAAGAGATAATGTGACTTCAGCAGTTCACACTAACTCCATCCAGAGGGATCAAAGGAGTCATGTCATAATTTTCCCCCTATACTATATGGAACATGAACATCATGAAATACTACATACAGATTTTAAAATTGCTTTTACACCAAAATAAACGCATGCTTCTCATTTCATTTCTGCAAACACTCCTATGGATAAGGTGTAGAATTCCAAGCAGGAAAAAACACTTCTGACACCTGTTCTAGCGAAGGGCTAGATATTTTTGGGTGAGACTGATGCTCAGGGTCTCTTCCTTGAGTGGAGAATCAGAACAAACAGATCAAGAATGCAACAGTCAAGAAGTGCTGCGACATCGTGCGTAAAGCTGCTGCTTACAATGCTGTAATCTTACACTGGCAGCAGTTTGTGTCCTGGCTGTTCCACTTCTGATCCAGCTGCCTGTTAAAGGCCTGGGGAAAGCAACACGAGATGAATGTGGTTGGCCAGAAGGAACTTATGATGGTAATTCTGAGGGGCAAAGAGGTGAACTGGGTTGGGTGGCACAGTGCCTGTAACCTCACCAACAGTGACAGTGGTAAAAAGCATGACTGAGATGGCGACAGTTTAAAAGATCTTTCTAGGCCAGATACCAAACGATGTGCTTCGTAACAGTCGGAATTACACTCGAAGAAACAAAGGTTCAAAAATATATGGCAACTTGCTCACCCAAGAATCACTGAAGAATAAGACTTTATCATCTATCTACCTACCTACCTGTAGATATTTCATTCAAAAATTTATTTATCTATAAGGGAAAAATATAGCAAAATTTTAGGTCTCCTGGCTCCTCCACCTGCAATGACCAGGGTTGAGCCAGGCCAAAGTACAGAGCTTAGAATTCAAATCTAAGCCTGTCCCCTGGGTGGCAAGGACCCAAGTATTCAGGCCATTATCGGCAGCTTTCCAAGGTTCGCGTTAGCAGCAAGCTGGAATCAGGAGTACAGCTAGATCTCTGATGATATGACTGCCTCCTAAACATGGGGTTTTGAATGCAGGTGATACTGTTACCGAAGTCCTGGAAACCTTCCTCTGAGCCCTCTTGCCGTAGGACATCAATTATTTCCTGCCCATACAAGCTGAGTGTGTTCCCAGCTGAGTATCCCCTTGAAACAAGCCGATGTGAGCAGGGACAGATTCCTGACCTGGAAGTATTGTGCTGCGGATGCTTCTTCTGTCCGCTGGCTGAACACAGAACACGTCTTTTTCTGATTCTGGCATCTTTTCAAGGTATTTGAAAATGCACTGAATTCTGCAAGGACAAAAAGAAAAAATCCATTGCTTCACCTTGGAAACCAGAGACCCTCATTGTTACACTCTGCAGAAAACAAATTCCGACAGTGAAAATATTGGAAGAAGCAAACAGCCTGAGAAGAAACAGCAAGGTGGAAATGGGTACCACTTGGAGGCAATGACATCCTCATCACACTTGCCAGATGTATTTGCATTCAGAAATGTCAAGTGGGATAGTACAATGGGATGTAGGCAAGATCCCAGTACTGTGCTCACAGACTCCTACTAGTTTGTATTCTGGAAAAGTTCATTATGAATGATAAGCAAAAAAAAAAAAATGTATCTGTGACTACAAAATTTTGTAAGTGTAAAATTGCATTCTCTCTCCACGGGGGAAAGTTTCTTGTCTGTTCTGTCCTTTAGTATTCTCTGTGTAGACACATGGCAAATGACCTGGAGCATATGCACACCATTACTTGGAGGGAAAATATGGAAGTGAAGGCTCAAAACAATGCGGAAATGATGTCATTGACAAACAACCAGAAACTGTTGCCAAATGCTGTGACAGCTGAGAAATGTCTCTTGAAGTTTACCGTGTAGCGTCTACTGTCTGTCCTCTTGGTCTGCTCACCAAGCATGATGACCAGTTCTCCACTTACGGCTTGCATCCTTCATGTCCGCACACTGTTGACCCAGGACAAGCTCCGGGCCTTGTCTTGCTGGGACTCACATTCCCACCTACCTCTGTTCCTTTCACATCCTCTCTTCCTGAAAGAACACCTGCCCTTCCACCACACTAACCCACTTAGAAGCTCTCGTGACAGCTTGGTGTTGGTCTTGATTTGAACCCTTGTTTCTTCTGTTATGATTCTCTCTCTTTCTTTCCAATCTCTCTATTTTTAATTGAAAAGCAGACAAGATTGACGGGGAGAGAAACAAAGATCTTCCATCCGCTGGCTCACTCCACAAATGGCTTCAACAGCCAGAGCTGAGCCAATCTGAAGCCAGGAGCCAGGAGCCAGGAGCCCCCTCCAGGTCTCATATATGCTTGCAGAGTTTCAAGGCATTGGGGCCATTCTCCATTCCATTCCCAGGCCACAAGCAGTAAGCTAGATGTGAAGCAGAGTAGCTGGGACACAAACCTGTGCCCATACGGGATCCCAGTGCTTGTGACATGAGGATTTAGCCACTGAGCCATCGTGTTGAAATCTACAGGATTCTCTTTGATGTTAACCTCTCATTTATCCTCCCCGTTGCCATCCAATAGCCTTTTTCCTGCTCCAGAATATCAAGGCAGATTAAATGGCTAGAACATTTTAGGTCTAAAACCTCATCTATAGGACAAAATCATCTAGAAAGATGGTTTTAACACTACACACTGGATCATCTTCCTAAACCTGCAATTCAATGTTCCGTTAGAGGGGTCAAGAACTCTTTTTTTTTTTTTTTCCATTCTCATGTACAATGAAGAATGAGAATCTTTAATCTCTTGGTTTAGAGAAAAACTGGAAAATTGACTAACAGATTTGATCAAATTATTTTAATTAATGGGGTAGCCAATGGGGCCCTGGGCTAGCCAATGTGGGAGCAGACACACTGAAAAAATAGTTTGTTATGCAATGGATATAAAGTCATTTCATAATTTTTTTTGAAAATGGAATTAAATAATACATTTACTTAGGAGAAAATGTTTTTGAAATGTATGAAGTACCTTGAAATTTTATGAAACATATCATAAAAATTGTGCATGTATTAAAACACATATGCCAAAAATAAACTTCTCTCTTAATTCCCTTTTCCATGAAATTTGGGGAAATTTCTTCATATTTTAAGAAGTGTAATTGCTGTGTCTGGCATCCCTTCCTCCCACTATCCCTGGAACATGAGAATGCTATGTACTCCAAAAAAAGCTGGAGCAAGAAAAATGGAGGCACTCTAACAAAACAGACATGAGAATCAAATTTGGAATATATCCTAAGCAATAACTATCTCATCAGCTTATTGGGACTCATCGTAAGAGGTAAGCCCTCGTGTCACCAAAGCACTAACATTTCCATATGAATCTCTCTTTAATGAAAACATGATAGTTCTTTGAAACTGTGGTACATCTACTCCATGGAATTAAAAAAGCTATTCGGTGGAATTTACTCAGCCATTAAAAAGAACAAAATTCTACCATTTTGCAACAAAATAGTCCCAACTAGAGACCATTATGCTCGGTGAAATAAAGCAATCCAGAAAGGACAAATATCATATGTTATCTCTGATGTAAGGCAACCTTCATGTAAAATACAAGATCAATAGATATTTAGGTAAACATGTTTATTTATTGAGAGGAGCCATATAATGGAACCAAGTATATCAGGAAGTGCAGATATATGGTACTCTGTATCTACTTCTGAATTAAGATGGACTCCCAATTAAACTGTTACATATCCTTTAGGATATATTCTATTCAATACATCCTAACAATGGGATACTCAAATTTCTACCATTACAGGCAATGTCATGACACACTTAATTACAATGATGGACTTGTGACTGTTGAAGGGTTATATTATTACTATAATATAGGAAAAACAGTGGGGGAAGGGGGAGAGAAAAGGGGAGAAGGGAGCAGGGAGAGGATAGAAGGGGATATATCTGAGCCTAAGGAACTAGATCATGGAAAATAAAAAATTTAAAAAAAAATTTGGGCCTGGCATTCCCTTGTATCCACTGAGATCCCATATGAGCACCTGTTTTTCTCTTGGATGCTCCACTTGCCCATCCAGCTCCCTGTCTGTGGCCTGGGAAAGTTGTGGAGAAAAGCCCAAACCCTGGGGACCGTGCACTGCATGCGGGACCAGGAAGAAGATCCTGGCTCCTAGTTTCAGATCAGCTCAGCTCCAGTGTTTACAGCCATTTGAGGAGTGAACCAGCGGATGGAAGATCTTTCTCTCTATATCTCTTTCTCTCTGTATATCTGCCTTTCAAGTGAAAAAAACCTTAAAAAACTTATCTTGGGGCAGGCACTTGGTCTAGTTGTCAAGATACTCATGGCCCATATCAGTGCCTTTGCTTCATCACCGAGTGCTGCCGGCTACTAAGTCAGATGCTGGGAGGCAGCAGGTGGCAGCTTAACTAACTGAATTTCTGCCACCCATGTGGAGGACAGGCATTGAGTTCTCAGCTCCTGGTTCGGGCCCCAGCCCAATCCCGGCCATTGTAGACATTTGATACAGTGAGATGGAACTTTTCTATTGCTCAGATAAACAAATTAAAATGTAAAAAAATTCATCTATCATGAGCCATTTATTTATTTTACTTATTTGAATGACAGCGAGATGGAGTAGGAGATCTTTCATAGTCTGGTTCACCTTCCAAATGCTTGCAGCAGCCAGTTCTGTGTCAGCCTGAAACCAGACATGCGGAACTGATTCTGGGTTTCTCCGTGGATGGCAGGGAGTCAAGTGGTGGAGCAGTCACCTGTTGCTTCCTAGGCTGGACATGACCAGGAAGATAGATCAGATACAGAGGAACCAGGATTTGAACCAGGCACCTGGATATGGTACACAGATACAGCAAGCAGCCTCCCAACCGCTGTACCAGAAAGTCAACCTATGACCATGAAACTTTCCACCAGTTCTTTGCTTTTTTTTTTTTTTTGCAATCACAGCCCTATCAATGAGAGGAGGCAAATGGCAATTTAAAAGTAACTAACATAAGAAAAGTATAACAATTTACAAAATAAATCGAAGAGACAATAATCATTCAGAGGATGGTATTAACATTTCTGTGTGTGTATGTCTGAGTTTCTCTTATTCAAAAAGTCACAATGTATTCTGTAACCACACCAGTCTATTCACAATACTATTAAAAAAATTCCTAGGTCATTAAGCAGTCTTTTCATCTCATTGTTAAAGGATATACAGTTCCAAGGTTTTTTTTTTTTTAAAGGGTGATTTATTGATTTTGTTTGAAAGGCAGAATCATATATGGAAAAAAAGAGAAATCTTCCATGTGCTAATTTATTCCCCATATAGCCCCAGCAGTCAAGACTGGATCAGGCTAAGGTGAGAGGTCAAGTTCTCCCAGGGCCCAAAGCTTTGTACCATTTTCCACTGCTTTTTCCAGATAAATTAGCAGAGAGCTAGATCCAAAGCAGAGCAGCTGGGAATTGAGCTGGTGCTCGGATAGATTGCTTGTGATACAGACAACAGTCCAACATTTTGCACCCCAAGACTAGCTCCTGTGGTATCACAATTATACCACAATTCAACCAACTCCCAATGGTTAGATTTCCAAGCCTTATTCTGAACCCACTGTATCCAAATGGTTAGGGCTTAGCTTCGCCATTTTCACCCACATCTTTGTCAGTTCTGGTGTTTAGATCATTGTGAGAGTTCTGGTGGACAGAATGTGACAGAAGTCAGACAGTAGGAATTCCACATTTCAGTGAGAGAGGTTCTTCCCTTACAAAATCCTTGTGCAAAAAAAAAAAAAAAAATCAATGTCTTAATCACTCTTCTCTCACACAATTTCTTCCCGACTGTTCTCCTGGGCAATACTTTCTGTAAAAATAACTTATCCATAAGTTTATCATAAGAAATTAGAAATGCAGAATAGAAAGTCATGAAAAATAACTTTCAGATATAACTACTCACAATGCTTTGGGAATCTCTCAGGAATTCTCCTTTACATATCTGTATTTATTTCTGTATTACTTACAGCAATATAATCATAGTATTCTGTTACATAATCGGTGTCCTCATGGAACAATATATTACTATTTCTGTGCCAACACATTTAACTCAAAGCTTTTAACTGTGGTATCATTTTTTTTTAAAAGATCTATGTCTTTTCATTGGAAAGGCAGATCAGACTTACTGAGGAAGAGATACAGAGAAAGATCTCCCATCCACTGGTTTATTCCCCAAACAACCACAACAGCCAGAGGTGAGCCGATCTACAGACAGGAGCTAGAGGCCTCCTCCAGGTCTCCAACACTAGCATAGGCTCTCAAGTACTTAGACCAGT